CCCCCCCCCCCCCCCCCCGGGTTACTTTGCCCAGCCAGACTGCGGCAATACTATGCCTATTTTCTGACAACATGATTCTATATGTAGAAGACCCAAAAAACTCCACCAGAAAGCTTCTAAGAACTCATAAATGAATTCAGCAAAGTAGTAGGATATAAAATTAATGCCCATAAATCATGATGTTCCTATAAATCAATAATGAATCGGATGAAAAGAAATTAGGATAACTATCCCATTCACAATAGACACACACACACACACACACACACACACACACACAGAAATCAATCTAACAAAAGAGGTGAAAGACCTCTACAATAAAAACTAGTACAGAACACCAAAGAAAGAAATTGAAGAAGCCCTTAGAAGATAGGGATAGGCAGAATTAATATTGTCAAAATGGCCACATTACCAAAAGTGCTATACAGATTTAATGCAATTCCTATTAAAATTCTAATGACATTCTTCATAGAAATAGGAAAATCAGTCATGAAATTTACTTAGCAAATCTAGGTACATAAAGAGGTCCAGAATAGTTAAAGCAATCCTTAATGAAAAAAGTGAAGTAGGAAACATCACAATACCAGACCTTAAACTATATGACAGAGTTATAGTAACAAAAACTGTATAGTATTAGCACAAAAATAGACATGAAGACCAGTGGAAGAGAATATAAGACACAGAGACAAACCCTCATAAATACAGTTATCTCATACTAGACAAAGGTGCCAAAAACATACAATGGAGAAAAGATAGGCTCTTCAACAAATTGTGCGGGAAAACTGGAAATCCATATGCAGTAGAATGAAAATTAGCCATTATTTCTCACCCTACACAAAACTCAACTCAAAGTGGATGAAGGACTTAGGCATTAGACCCAGAGACCCTGTGCCTACTAGAAGAAAAAGTAGGTCCAACTCTCTATCATGTCAGGTTAGGAATGACTTCCTCAACCAGACTCCTGAAGCATAAGAAGTAAAATCAAAAATCAATAAATAGGATGGAATCAAACTAAAAAGCTTCTTCACAGAAAAGGAAACAATCAAGAATGTGAACCAAGAGCCTACAGAATGGGAGAAAATCTTTGCCACCTGCCCCTCAGATAGAGTATTAATCTCCAGGATATACAAAGAACTCAAAAAAAAAAAAAATAGCACCTAAAAAATCAAATAACCCAATCAACAAGTGGGCAAAGGAACTGAACAGGCACCTTGGAGAAGAAATATGAATAGTCAACAGATATATGAAAAAATGTTCAAATCTCTAGCAATTAGAGAAATACAAATTAAAAGCACACTGAGGGGGCTGGGGTTATAGCTCAGTGGAAGAGTGCTTGCCTCGCACAAACGAGGCATTGGATTGAATCCTCAGCACCACATAAAAAAATTAATACATAAAGTATTGTGTCCATCTTAATTTTTTTTTAATTACACTGAAATTCCATCTCACTCTAGTCAGAATGGCAATTATCAAGAACACAAG